AATACGACTTCAAGATCGAGTACAAACCTGGCCGCCTGAACACCATTCCGGACGCGCTGTCCCGCCGAGACCAAGACATCCCAAAAGGATCCGACGACGAGAGAATCCGCAGTCGTTTCATTCAAGTTCTGAAGGGGGAGAGTATAGACCACCTACGAACCAACGCAACTACCACAGAGACAACCCCCCTGCAGCAGCTATGGGACGAAACTATCCCTCAGGACGAACAGTACCAAGACCTCCTAAAGGCCGCGACGGAGAATGCCAGACAGGTCCCCGCAGCGTACAAACACTTGAAATTGTCAATGACGGACCTCTCGACTGCCGACTCCCGGCTACTATAGCGCGACAGACACTGGGTCCCGAACAGCGAACCACTGCGTACTAGCCTCCTATAAGAGATCCACGACTCGCAGGTAACCGGACACCCAGGGAAAGAAGTCATGACTGGCCTTATGGTAAAGAAATACTTTTGGCCAGGGATGACGACCGATATCCGCAGATTCGTACGCAATTGCCACTCCTGTAGACGAAATACCATATAGAGAACCAGACGACAAGGCCTACTCCAGCCCCTACCAGTGCCCGACCGAGTATGGTCGGAGATCTCGATGGATTACATCACCGACCTACCAGAGACCAAAAGAGGGAACAAGCACCTCCTAGTAATCGTTGACCGCCTATGCAAAGGCGCGATATTCATCCCATGTCCAGATCTCTCGAGCGAAACACTGGCAGAGAAATTCATCGAGCATTACGTCGCCTACCACGGCCTGCCAACCGCTATTACGTCAGACCGCGGTGATCAATTCGTTAAGGGCGTTTGGTCCCATGTCTGTAAACTAGCAAACATCAAGCAACGCCTATCGACCGCATACCATCCCGAGACTGACGGTTCTACTAAACGCATGAACCAGAACATCGAAGAGTTCATCCGCCACTTCTCCGGATACCACCAAGATAGTTGGGATACACTGCTCCCCTTCGCGCAAGCCGCCGTTCTTAGCAAACCCGTTACAGCTACAGGAATGTCCCCGTTCTTCATAACCCACGGATACCACCCCCGCCTCGGCGAATCGATCGACTTACCCGAAGCCCGAGCCTCCGACCGCCTACCACGTAGTCCAGCAGAAGCAGCCGAAGCAAAGATTAGGAAGCTTCAAGACTGCGTTAACTTCGCCCAGGCAGCTATGGCCTCCGCTTAACAACGCCAACAGGATATTACCAACCGCCACCGCGACCCAGCCCCAGCCTACAGGGTCGGCGACAAAGTCTGGCTAGACATGCGCAATATTAAGCTCCCAGACAACCGTAAACGCAAGTTAGCTCGACTCTATGAACAGTTCACAGTTACAGAGGTCGTCGGACGTAGCGCCTGCCGCCTGAATACCCCAGTGGGCATCCATAACGTATTCCATAATATGCTCATACGCCCCACGGCCAACGACCCATTCCCAAGCCAGCGACAAGACGACGTACAGCCCGATCCTATTGACGTAGACGGCCACAATGAATGGGCCCTGCTGGAGATATTAGACGACCGCGTTAAACGAGGCAGAGGTAGAGGCGGACCACTAAAGAGGGAATTCCTTTGCCGATGGGAGGGATACGCCGAACTTAGCTAGGAGGCAGACTGGTGCGTATAAGATATAATAGCCCTAGACAAATACGAGGAGAAGATAGGCAGGAATATCCTTCATAAACCCCTAAGGATCTCTTGACCCCTTAAACTGGGAGGAGGGGGGTATTGTTATGGTTCCAGGCCTGTAGCCTGTCTCCTGAATGATAGTCACGTGACTAAGTCAACTGTCGAAGTCTTGGACATCGCGCACGCGTCGTAGATAGCTCTTCTTCTTTAGCTTTGCAATAAATGAAAGTGGTTCTCGTAACTTCTGCGATCAAACCGTCTCAGCCATGGTGGGAACTCACGGGCGCGCCTGATCGAGTGAGAGAATATCACGATGTATACAAGGACTCCCCTGCGTTACATCCATCTTTCTTCGACGAGGAAATTTAGCGTGACTTCGTCTACGCCCTTGCGATTGATACGTTCCGATAATCGGAACAATGAGATGCGATGGGCTAAAGTAGACGCTAGAACCGCTCTGCCGACCAAGGTACCGGCCTAGATAATAGCGGGACACCTTCTCGACTACTCTAGCGAGACGAGGTATCTAGACGAGGAGCTACTGAATAATCGTCTAGAGAGGCCTATCTTAAGACTCAGAGGACTTCGCGTGTTTTAAGGAGGGGGTAGTGTAAAGGATCGAAGATTGAATTCAGTCTGATGCCTTGGGGCCTTGGGATGTGGATGCCTTACGGCCTCACGATGTGTTGTGGTCACGAATCACAGAGTTTTGCCTCATTCTTCGTGCCCTGACAATGGGCGAAAGAGACGGTTTCCCTACCGTAGCACGCCCATCGATGCTGGAGGATATCCGCGCCCCTGGTTCGTTCGCTGACGCTTACTCATCCTCATTCTGAGGACGCTCATAGTAGTGAGCGCCTGTCAAGATCTGATGTCATTACTTAGTCATCCGTTTCCCCGCTTCGGCTATTACTTAGTCATTCGTTTCCCCTCTTCGGCTATTACTTAGTCATAGGTATATCTACCTCGTTCGGTACTCTACTTCTTACAGAAATAAAAGCACTTTACATTCTTCGTCACGTAACCTATTGCTTCCGTGTGGATAGACACGCTAAGCTATCAACAGCGCCAACCTACTAAACGAGACTGCGGTCTAAACGATATAACATACAAACTGGAAATTTTGCGAAATTTTGACTTAGGCTCAAGCTCCACAATGCGTAGACTTATACTTGTAAATATGATTTTCGGCACTTTGACTACCTATAGAACCTGTTTACAAATTTTGTCCACAGTCTCGTTTAGTAGGTTGGCGCTCACTGTGAGCGTCCTCAGAATGACGATGAGTAAGCGTCAGCGAACGAACCAGGGGGCGCGGATAGCCTATGGCAAAGCTTGCAAGCCTTAGCCACTCGACTGGCTGCGGTCAAGCTACATTTCTCCAAGAATATTGCCGAGAGAGCCTCACCGCAACGTCATTGCTCGAAATCTCGCATTTGCTAGAGGGATCGACTCTCCTTAACTCTAAGAATACACTCTCAGGTTCCCAGCCTATACCACGGGGAGGTAAGAGTCGTCGCAGGCCCTGATCCTTGGATCATCGGAGGTCTCCAAACTTTAAACTTTACGCGAACTTCGTAAGCAACAGGATTTATAATCCTTCGGACTCTCGGCCAAGCCAGGCCCGTGAGACTACACGGAGTTCGGACTACAGTTGATGGCGAGATTGATACAGGAAGCAGCCTGCGCGTCACTTACTTGCGGTAGCTGAGCAAGCACTAACTAGGCAGAAGCCGGGCCGCGTCGTAGTAACGCATTGCGACGACTAGCTATGTGTTGCAACATGCCCCAGACCTGTTATAGGCAGTCCTAACGTCGAACTGCTGCGTGACACCCTCGATAGAGTTTATTTCACAGCTATATACACCTGATGGGAGCTCGTCGTTTATATGTCGTTCTAAAATATCCAGTTTCATCATCCGTTGATCTCAACAAAGTTAAAAAGCACAGCGCAACAGCATCTTCAATCATGCGTGTTCTCGTTATTGGTGGCAATGGACAGACTGGTCGTCTCGTTATCGATGAAGCATTACAGCGCGGCCACAAGATTACAGCCTTGATTCGGAATCCCTCTGCACTTCCAGCCATGGAAGGCTTGAACATCGTAAAGGGCACACCAGTGGAACCTTCGAACATCGAAAGCGCTTTCAACGCAGTCCAAGGCGACCTCCCTACTGCTGTGATCGTCACGCTTTCATCCCCGAAAGAAAAGGGGACTCGAGTCATGTCTAACGCGCACGAAAACCTCGTCGCTGCGATGAAGAGGCATGGCGTTTCCAAAATTGCGACAATGTCTTCATTTGGGGTTGGGTCTTCTTTCGCCAATATTACTGTGATTATGAGATGGGCAATTTCCAACACCGGCCTTGGGCATCCATTCGCAGATCATAATCATGTCGATGAAATACTCAAGAGGAGCGGATTGAAATTCGTGGTGTTAAGGCCAGCGAGACTGACTATGGCAAAAAAAGCACCCGTTCAGTTCCTTGGCGACGATGGGAAAGGACTCGGTATTTTCGCGGGTCTGGGGGGGATCTCGAGGGCTAGTGTGGCGGCGTGTCTGGTGGATGCTGTTGAGAAGAGCACCTGGGATCGAAGCACTCCTGTGATATCGAACTGATGGGGTGTCATGGTATGGGTCCCTGTGCCCTAGAACTGTAAGGACACAGGTGACAAAAGAGGTCTGTGGCTGACGCCTGTTGTCGCAAGATGCCCCTGTTGGTTTCTACTGCCCTAACTTTCCTTTCACTGCCCATTACCCCTAGGCTAGGCCTATTTCGGACAGCTTAGTGTTTTCCCTTGTATTTAGTTATCTTCAACTACGAACATCTCACTCCAGCCGAATCTATTTTTTGGAATTTGACCACAATCACGACACTCAATTAACGCGAAACCTACTGCGGAATATCCGCTGCATCTCTAGCTTTCGATTGATATCAGTCGAGGGCCGGAAATGGTAGGCGTGAAACCGCAATGGCCTCAAATTCGCAAATTTGAAGGCACCTCACCCCGGCATCTATCAATCCATATCAATGAAGTTATCAAAAGTCTGACAGACTTCGCGGCCCCAAATGGGCCCACGAAAACCGGCAAAGCATTGCCATGGGACAAGTTCAACATGCTTTCCCAGCTCATCGAGCGTTATATATCGGAAACGGAGGACGCGCCATCGCCAGCCAAACTGTATAATGCGCTACAGAAGATCGAACTCCGCACCTAATCCATTGGAAAAGCAGTCGAAACAATAAAGTACAACCAGGAGTTCGCTCCAAAGTCCCAAGTGAATACACAGCTGAAATCATGGGCACAAGCCGCGGCAGCAGCCCCCCCGCCACCAATAGTTCTATTACGAATGACCCCCAGCCTCGCAGCATCTATTGCAGCACTAGAGCATCGCCTACTCACTATTAGAATGAACAACCCAGCGGAAGTGAGCGCGATCCGCGCAACCATAGAACCAGAGCGGACAATTGTTAGGAACCTGAACAACAGGCTTAAAAACCGTGCTAACAACGACCCCTTTTTCAAGGGCGTACAATTTAACGCGTCCAAAATCCTCCCAAGCGGAGATATCCGCCTATACGCAGGCACCCCAAGCCAAGCCGAACTACTCCGACACCACCGAGACGCCTGGCAAGACGTCCTGGGCGATAACGCTGAATGCCTGTTGCCGGTGTTTAGCATAGTCATCTACGGCGTCGCCCGTCGATCAATAGAATCTTATAACCCCGAGACGATCCTACGGAAGTAGGAATTCGAGAACCGGATGGTCATTAACGAGAACCAATGTATCAGCAACTGGCGCTAGCTGAAAAAGCTACGGGATAACCAACGGGATGGCTCTATTATCCTAGACCTCTCTAACGAACGAGTCGCTAACTAAATCCTCTAAGCGAATACGCTAAACTGGGACGGCACTATCAAACGTGTCGACCGCTTCGACCGATCCTATCAGATCAAAAGATACTTCAAATGCTACCAATACGGACACATAGGACCACAGTGTCGGAATCCCCTCACATGTGGCAAATGCGCGGCCCTTAACGGGCACAAGACCGAAGACTATACGGCCCCAGAAGACGCTATCAAATGCGTCCTCTGCAAAGGACCACACGTTGCCTGGTCATCTACCTGCCGCTTCTATAAGGACGAATCGCTCCGGGCACGCAAAGCCCGAGAAATGATCAAAATCAACCGCTTCTGGCCAGAAGCACCCATCGCTATTATACCTGGCCCCTCAGAGATCTTATCTCAGCCACGAAGCCCCCCCCAATCGGCTATAACGCCAGAAACGGCGTCGTTATCGCAAGCCCCACCCATAGCAGTACAAATCCTAAGCCCAGATCCGGACGACGACCAATTTATGCGCGACCGCGACCAGATCGCAGGATAGAAACGCATTAATCATGATGCCTCACCACAGTAAAGGGCGAGAAAAAAGACGCCGTTCGGAAATAGCAACCGCTAACCCATAACCACAACCCAAATTGGATCGGATGGATCACCACGAAAGAGGGCCCAGGCCTACACCAGAGCCAAATCTACGCTAGGACTGACGGTATTCGCCGACAGCGGGGCCTTTGAAGACTAAGAGAACCGCTCGGATCTCTGCAGTAGCTTGGGAGCTACTACACGAAGTTAGTCGAAGGGAGTAAGAATCACCGAAGACCTAATACAATAAACCGTCTATTAATAAGTCAAGAACCTGACTACGATATAATCAAAGTTCTCTAATATAACACCGAAAATAGCTACGAATACCTCTAGGTCCTACTCCGTGACGATATAGTCTAGACCTTCGACGTTATCGCTATCTAGGAGCCGTGGCTAAACCTACACACGGACTAACTATCAACCACGAACCCAGCCTTAGAGTACTTCTATCTCTTCTTCCCACCGCACGCGAAGGCAAGAGTCTACCTCTTCATTAATAAAAAACTCCCGCTCTAATCCCTTCAGATACGCGACTTCGGCGGTAACCTTACCGCAATTACGATCCAGCTGGAGTACCGCCCACCACTCTATATCCCCAATATCTATAATCCGAACCTACTCGCGCCGTACAACCGACTAAACGGGCTCCTACGAAAGTGCCAACTCCCTAGGCTTAACAACGCCCTGCGCCGTCTGCTACGAAACGCAGGGAAGCTCATCGTTGGAGATTTCAACCTTCACTACCCTAGATGGGGTCCCTAAAAGGACCGAATTAACTATGCAAAATCCGCCGCGTTCCTTATCGAGCTTATCGAGGCATACGGCCTCGTACTTAGTATCGAGCTAGGCACAATTACCCGCCCAGGACGTAGGAACAATAAAGAAAAAGATGGGAGCACGATCGACCTAAATCTCCTCTCGGACGACATCTTTAACCTCTTACTCGTTATAGGCATAAGAGAAGATCTATCTACAGGCAGCGACTACCTCCCGATTAAGACGGTTATAGGAATCCCGAAACCACGCGCCGAAGTAATTCAACGCCGGAACTGGGCGACCATAGACCAAACGATCTTCTACAACATCCTCGACAGAATCCAGCCGCCGCAGACACTCTAGACCCCCCAGGCAATTGACGAGTACACCTCTTACCTCATTAACACCCTCTAAGAAGCTATTAAGGCTTCTACGCCACTTACCCGAGTTATACCTCACTTAAAGCCAGGATAGACACCGGAATGTACCGAGGCACTCTACGAGTTTAAGCGCGCAAAAAGGAGGTTCAACCGATACCCGTCGGAGGAGAACCAAATCGTATACCAGATCGCGAAGAGAGAGAAGACTAAGCTTATTAGATCTACCCTCCGCGAGGGATACCGGAACAGGATTAACTTAGTCGACACTATAGAGGACCTCTAGCGTCTCGTAAAGTGGGCAAAAAACCGCCATACACCACGCACCACCTTTATACCAGATATTAAGATAGACGGAATACCATAGCGCACGATCTCGGGAAAGACAAAAGCGTTACGGACTACATTCTTCCCTACTCTACCAGAAGCTGACCTTACCGACATCGCCACCTTTGACTATCCCTCGCCACTCGTGATGCCAAGCATCCAGGAACACGAAATCGAAGACGCTATCCGAATAACGGCACTAAACAAGGCTCCTGGCCCCGATAGGATCCCCTATAAAGTCATCTAGCTAGCAGCTCGCTATATTATCCCTAATCTTAATAATCTAATGAACCAATGCCTCGCAAGCGGCTACTACCCGACATACTTCCGCTCTACAACGACGGTTACACTCCGTAAACTAGGTAAGACCGACTATACTATCCCTAAGTTATATAGACCTATCGCGCTACTAAATATAGTGGGTAAGGTCTTTAATAAAGTCCTTACTATACGACTCTCGCACCTAGCGGAGGGATTCTACCTTCTACCCCGAACGTATACCGGGGGAAGGAAAGCGAGCGGCTGCGAGCACGCCCTCTACCTCCTCCTCGAAAAGGTCCACGCCGCATGGCAACACTAAAGTAAAAAGACCGTTAGTATTCTCTTCCTCGACGTAGGCGGAGCCTTCGATAACGTATACCACGAGCGTCTTATCTACTGCCTTAAAAAGCGCTGTGTCCCCACAATCATTGTCAATTAGGTTACCAGCTGGCTAGAATCCCGCAACACATCAATCGCTCTACCAGAAGGAACCTCAGAGTTAATACCTACCCCGACCGGGATCCCACAGGGATCACCTATCTTACCTATCCTGTTCCTGTTCTATAACGCGGACCTACTCGACTAGTATAACGAAGGAGTCTAAGGAGGGTCAGCATTAGGATATATCGACGACGTGGGCCTTATTGCCCAAGGAGAGTTAACGACGGAGACCGTGGAACGGCTAAACACACTCCATAGACGCGCACAAATATAGGCAAGATACACAGGGGCAGCATTCGCACCGGCGAAATACCAGCTTATCTATTTCTGCCCTAAGACAGCCAACATGGAGGAGAAATCCCGATCAATCACTATCAACAACACCGATATTAGACCCTGCCTAAGCGCCAGATACCTAGGGGTATACCTCGATCCGGAGCTCTCCGGCTCTATCCATCTCTAGGAGATAGCCAAATCAGCTGCTAAACAACTCGGGGCCATCGCGTCGTTAGGGGCCTCCTCATAGGGACTCAAGATACACCAGCTACGCCAGCTCTACATCGCAACCATCATACCAAAGCTCACATTTGCGGCCTCATGCTGGTATATACCGGAAGGAGGATGGGGATACGTAGGACGTACCAAAGCCGTCATTAAAACACTCGGAGATATCCAGAAACGAGCCCTATGCCTTATCACAGGAGGCTTTCGCACCACAGCAGCCTCCGCACTCGAAATCGACGCCCAAGTACCACCAATCAAGCATACACTCCAACGAGCAATCGAGAGCGCATTCTATAGGATACGAAGCTCGCCGCTATACCCACTCATTATCCAGCCTCGCGACCGAATCCACTGCGCTATAATCGTACTCTAGAGCCCTCTACAGAAGCTCGAAACTAATATCCGCAATAAACAGGGCCCGCATAGCCCACCACCGATTAAACCACTGCTACCGGCGAACTGGCCGCTATAGACACTTAAGCCGGATGTCCGTATCGCCCTCTCTAATGAGATGGCAACCAGGGAACACGATAAGAAGGCCTACGGCACCGAACTCGTGTTTTATACTAATAGAAGTGATCTAAACGGACAAGTAGGAGCCGCTGCCTACTTCCTAACCAGGCGTCAAGAGCGGATAAACTACATGGGCCCCCGGTCCGTAAGCAACATCTACGCAGCCGAACTTCGTGGGATCCAATTAGCGCTGGACATAGCAGACCAGCACTCGGGAATCAAGAGAAGGACGGTTGCCTTAACCCCCCAACGCCGAATCCCACTTCCATCAGAGACTACCCACATCTACATCTTCGCCGACAGCCAGGGAGCCCCCAAAGCGCTCCTAAGCCCGCAAACTCACTCAGGACAATACTACGTCCTAGACATCCTCTACCGCCTCCAGCTCTTCAAGAGCGCGGGATACGCGGTGCACCTCTACTGGATCCCTTCCTACTGCGGCATTCTGGGCAACGAGCAAGCTAACGAGCTAGCAAAACGAGCCACAGGATGGACGAGGATAAGCCACGATGGACGGAGGGCCTCCCTACCGGAGAACCACGTAACACTCCTCTCTGCAACGAGACGAGATACGCGCGACCGGACCGCCACCGAGTGGGCGACCGAATGGGAACGCGGCGAAACAGGCAGAACACTCTTCCGCCTAGCCCCGAAACCATCGCGCGCTTTGCTCAAGATCCACCGATCTCTAAATAAGGCCCAATCATCAGTCCTGACACAACTTCGCTCCGGGAAGGTGGCCCTGGCCAGCTACCTCTCCCGCATCAACGCAGCCGATTCGTCCCTCTATACTTGCGGTACAGACTAGACCCTAAGGCATATCCTTACGGAATGCCCGAACTTTGACCAGTTACGCGATACAATTTGGCCTGACGGCCAGCCTACAGACCTTCGGATCCTCCTAGGAACCGCCGCAGGTGCCCCAAAAGTAACAAAACTATTGCTCCAAATAGGCCTTCTAAGCCAATTCAGGCAACTAAAGACCGCGATCTAACTCACCTAGCCTACCACCGATGTTACATCTCTGATTAACATTAACAGTAAGTCTCCACCGACACCGTATGAAGACGGATAGTACTAACGTCCCGAAACAAACAAAGCCTAATGATAAAGCATCCCAGGCGGGAGTTATACTGCTTTAACCTTTCTCCTTGTAGAACCCCTACCATTGTCTATGGTCTTTCCGAGGGTTTTTTCCTAATTGTTTGATACTATCCAGTTCGGGAGTCTTAGCACTCCCTTAGGTATAGATGAGGCGGGGGCCGATAGCCCCCGCACTGTTCGCCCTGCCCATATCTAGTTCTAGCCCACCGGAGACGGTGAGGCTGCCCGCCTGTGAAAATAGAAATACCCAGCATAGCGGCTCTTAAAGCCAGCTGAAATGGAGTAGGATTTAAAAAAAAAAAAAAAAAAAAAAAAAAGTTATCTTCAACTGTTTTGCTAGCTAGATCTCCTTTTTGGGGAGACAATGGGAATCGTCAAGACCAACTTGCGTTGTGACTCTACAGCAACTGAGCTAAAGAAGCAAACGTGCTTAATCATCACCCACGCGTGATGCGACACCTGTTACGCCACACATAGACTTGAGACATCTACCGTTTTATATGTTCTACACACGTTTGGGATACTCCCATCACATTCCTTATCATTTCCTTTGTATACAGTGCGTATTCAGCAGGATCTAGAGTCATACTATGTATGTAGAAAGCGCTGTCCTCCAAACTCCAAGAGGAAAGGGGGGGACAGAGACGAATATCAGAGCAGTCTTGGGGTATACTACGTATAACTTATATGTGACCCTCCCACTCGTCACGAGATCTACCGGAAATCACGTTTTCCCTCACTAAGCTATCCTATAGCGACCGTAGTGCTGCTGTACTCTATGGTCTTATCAAGACTCCTTATTGTATTCTTACTTTTGCGTATGAAGCGGTGTGCGGTTGCCGCCCAGATGAATAGGCCGCTAGCATTTTGAACAAGACTCTTAATGATCTCCCTTCCTGGCCAGTCGGCCGCGAAGGAGCGTTCCTGGGTGAGAAGTCTAAGTTTGTATTCTAGATAGATACTGATATCATGATCAACAATCGATGGTGATATATTATGGAGCACAAAGTCCCGGCGTTCAGTATCCGATATCTGGTAGAAACCGTGTCGGATTGGAATCTCGGGTCGGCTCGTTAGGAAGACTCGTAGTCGAACCGTCTTTAGCGATTAAGCTTCGGCCAACAGGCTTATGATGGTCCGGATGTTATCGTCGTTATCGCACTCGTCAAGAGCATCAACGATAACAACGTACCAGGGCTGGCAATCCTTTTCACACTCTTATCCCAGCTTTAACAGCGGGCCAAGGATGAGCTGATGTCACTGGTCGCGAAGAGACACGGATCAGAATTCGAATTAAATCTCTTGTGATTAGACTAACCTCTTCGTCCCTAATTTTGAAATAGAGCTTATCCATTATCAACGGATCATCGACCTTATCGTCCTAATTCTGAGGTCAGAAATTACATAAACCGGAGCTTCAGACTTACAAGCAATAGACAGCGCAGTCCTATGAATAACATGTTGCCAAGTGGCATCGATATGCAGCCACAAGCTATTTAGGAGCTTAGAGGGAGTATATGAGAAAAGGAGATCGCGGAAGCAAGAGAGGTGGGAAGGTTTTGGTCACTTACGTTTTAAGAAGTGCAGTAGGATTAGATTGTTAATCTATTATTAGGAACAAACGGCTTAATCTGGCTGTTTCTTTGACTGTCATAGAAGGCATCCAGATTTAGCAAATGACGTACTTTAGAGGCCAATTTCTCTAATGACAGGAGCATTCAGAAAGTCATGTTCGAACAGGGATAGTTAAAGAATGTCCAATCGATATTTGGCGCTAATTCTACCTATCAGCTAACCGGCCACGTTCCGGAAGATCATCTGTTGTCGGGGACCTCCTGGCGAACCCTGATCGGGTGGCGCTTTCACGTGGGAACTCCCACACGATCGGCGAGACTTAGAAACCTTATTGGCCCTCAGTCTCGAACACATTATATAATAAGGGATTGAGTACTTCATGCTTCGTAGTCGAACATCAGCAGCCGGCCAGACCATCGATGGTGACCGGTCGAGGCAACCCGAATGGGGGGCTTGGACTGCCAACTGCTCCCGTCTGGTTGGTGGTCAAGTGGGATTGTGGGAATCTCTGACGCCATTGGAACGTGGAAACTAGACTACGGACGTACCGTACCTACGAACGCGGGGTATATTCCCTGTCCTTCTCTACAGGCACGGCACACGCTGCGAATTAGCTCAACCGTCGGAAGTTCCCGATTCGCCTATTTCGCTGGCTCTCGAAGACTTTTCGGGCGGCTGTCTGGACGTCAATCTCGTGTGTTAAGACGGGCTGGCTGTGACGAATTAAATTGAAGGTGGCGCACCAGGAGGGAATATGTTCACGTAGACCGGTTCGGGTCGGACACATTCTGGTGATCCGGGAAGCTCTACCACAGTAGACCAGGAGAGGGCGCTCAAATTGAGTCAGCCCCTCCACAGAAAGGCGATTTTACGAGATTGACTATGACTTATATGTCGCATTTGTACCACATGGTCCTATCAAGGATTACCATATTCAGTTCTATCCCCCGTAACCCTGAGAATCAAGAAGTGCTAGATTCCTTGGCAAGAGGCTAATAAACTCGCCGAATAATCCCCCTTGGATGGAACACGCGATAATATGCGTGATCAGGCTCTGGAAACTTACTTCCGCCGTCGTTTTACGATAGAACCCATGCCTAGTGACGTATCTATATGATGTAGTGTGTAGAGTTACTGCGAAGGGCTAGCTAAAGGCCCTACCCATTCGCTTGGTTCCATCCGACTTGCATCGTGGCCTTGAACTCCGTGGGGACACATTTCCATAAGGGTTTGGTGCCACGCAGCCCTACAGAAGAGTTTCATAGGGAAGATTATTTTATGCAATTTGAAGCCTCAGGCTCCCAGAACTGATGCCTTGGTGTGCCTAAACTAATTGATCCTGGGTTTTATCTGCGCCATCGCTATTGGTTGGACTGCGGAGCTGGACCAGAATTTATGTCGGCTGGTGATATTTTCCCACCAGGTTTTGTTATTTTCCCACCAAATGCTATTTTCCCACCACGCTAGCAATGGTGGAAATTAAATTCTTAATTAGGACTAGCTCCTCCTAATCCTACCAGCGCTGGTATACTCCACATGTCACTATTGTCACCTCTTTTCTACTGAGGAAGTTTGAAGCGCATCTCAAAAGCCTCGTCCTATTGATGTATCAAAGCTACTAACGTCGCTGTCTCTTGCGCGGGCTAAGCCCTTTCCAAGCATTTGAAGCCATCTCTGCTGCAGCACGTCTAGGACGCTCTCTCCCCATATCCGGAGAGCTGAAAAGCTGATTTCGAGCATCAACTTGT